TCACAGGCATTGGAGGTCAGCAAATGCCACAGCAGCCAGCTAAAGAACTCACAGTATATGGGCCAGAAGGGAAACAAGCACAGCTCAAACTGTGTGTACTTTCTGTTCCATGTACACTGTGGGGAAGAGATCTGTTGTCACAGTGGGGACGGATTTTGACAACAAATTTTTGAAAGGGGTCACTGATGTGCAGCTGAGACTTAAACTCACATGGAACATGAACAATCCTGTGTGGGTCCCTCAGTGACCCCTAAATAGGGAAAGGCTGCAACAAGCACAAAAATTGGTCAAAGAACAATTCGATCTGAGAAATACAGTTCTTTTTACTAGCCCATGGAATATCCCAATATTTGTGATCTAAAAAAGACTGGCAAATGGAGACTTACCAGATCTGAGAGCTATCTATGCAGTAATAGCTCCAATGAGCACACAGCAACCCAGGATTCCTAATCCAACAATGATCCCTGAAACCTGGGAATTGTTAATTATTAAAAAGATTATTAAAAGATTATTTAAAAGATTATTTTTTCACAGTTGCATGACACTCCAATGATACACCTCATTTTGCTTTTTCATTACCATCCTTGAGCAATGGTGAACCCATGCAAAGATCTCATTCATCTTTGCCTGGATCTCTACTGAAAGGCAATGCAGCTGAGGACACCTTAACGATGATGGAGCTCATTGACTACTTGTGAAGAACATCAAACCCACTGCAGAGGGAATGAAGACTTGAAGGCATCACAATTTTAGTCTGGTAATCAGTTACAGTGGGTTTTGATACAACGTACATAGCCTTTTTGTCATCCTCAGTGGATTCCCGAGGATGATGAATGAAGCAGAGGTCCCACAACCAAACATGTTTGGCTCACACTAGCTAAAGCAATTAACCAACCTACCCTTTGTATATCCATGACCAGTCCTAGTGATCCATTTCAAACATGTCTGGTTGGCATTCCTTTAATGAAGGATGAATGGAACAAGTTATAAAATCAGTTACATGTGATTGTACAACTCCAGGTGAGCACAGATCATTGTAGTGGTGCTTGGCAATCTAATGCTGACTAATCTGTGGGATGGTCTTTGGGCAGTGCTAATGGAGGCATGAGAAAAGTAAGTGACTTCCCTGCTCTCTCACTGCAGCCTCAAGAGCTGGATGTACTAGGCTCTATAAAAGCTCCTCTATGTTTTTATCTTAATTACGCTAACAGTCCAAACACAGACAACACAGGAGTTGATATAAGTGGCACTGGCATTTACCATAATGCCTCTGTCTGGTGTAATCTTACTACTTCCTCACAAGTCACAACAGAAATCAATGTAATAAGTCTGCCTGAAAACATATTTTTAATATGTGGCAACAGAGCATGGAACGGCAATCCAGGTAAAGCAGTGGGAGGTCCACGCACTTTTGGTTGTTTAACCATGTTTCATCCCAGTCTTGAAACACGAACTAGTTGGA